ATTAAATTTGCCGAATTTGTAATAATAGCATATGAGTATGTCAAATAAACTCAGTATAATTTTTGTTTATTAAGGCACAAATGCAAGATATGAGATATGCAATATTATTAAAAAAATGAAATGATTAACAAGTCCTCTTATTTCATAGCAATTATTGCTATTTCATTAACTTGATCAATCTTATATGTCAACACTTAAACTAAGATAAATTTGCAATAAAATTTATTAAAAAACATATAAAGAATAGCAATCAATGTATTTGAATGCTATATATATATATATATATATAAATATAATATTATTTAAAGAATGAAAATTTGCTAATATTATAATTATACTTATTTTAATTTATCACATTATTTTAGAATATAAAATTTCACATGTTTGGAATGTATTAAATTTAAGAATTTTTATGAATATTTCATCTCATTTAATAATATCATCATGCAATAAAAATTAAGACTTCGTTTGGGACAGCTTTTTTACTACTTAAAATAACTTTTTAGTTCAAAAATAAAAATATTTGTACTAAAAGCTATTTTATGAAGCAATAAAAATGCGATCCCAAACGAAGCCTATGTGTAAGTCATACAAATCTTCAAGCATGAAAGTGTCCATGCAAAGTTTTTTATATCTTTATTTCATGCTAATGCCTCCAAAAATTATAAGAATTCATGCATGCAAAGTTATTCACTTGTTCATTTTGTTACCACTTGTCATTTCTTCAAACTAAATCTTTTTTGTTCAAAAATAAATTTTAAGAAAAAAGAGTACCAACAAATAACAGTAAAAGATACTTTTATATAATCATTTTTTCTAACGATCACACTTAAATACTTATATGTATGTATCATACTTAGATGTATAAAGATATATTTAAATTTAATGTAAAAATTACAAGAATATGAAAAAAAAGAAATTATATATAAATTTGGTTTGTATAAATTATATTTTGCTTTTTAAAAATTAGTTATCTACTATTTGCATTACCGATCACACTTAAATACTTATATGTATGTATCATACTTAGATGTATAAAGATATATTTAAATTTAATGTAAAAATTACAAGAATATGAAAAAAAAGAAATTATATATAAATTTGGTTTGTATAAATTATATTTTGCTTTTTAAAAATTAGTTATCTACTATTTGCATTACCATAAAATGAAGAAAAACTGACATTCAAGTATACTAATTGTTGAAGAAATAAAATGCAAATATGATATTAAGTTATTTCTACAAAGCATATTGCCAAATTTAGATCAATCTTATTGCAAAGCATACAATCAGAATTTGTAACAATATATAGAAATATTACTTTATTTTTCTTAATCAATAAAAAAGAAAAAATTTCTATTATATGGAAATAACCAATGGAAATTAAAAATCAATATATAGCTTAAAGAAAACACACGAGAGTTGTTACGAATAACCAAAATTTTATTAGAGTAAATATATGAGTAAAATCAGATAAAAATATTGTTTAAAATTAATTGTTTTTAACTTACAGTCGAATGCGGAAGAGAATTGAAGCGGCTTATATTTAACTTACAACTGATGGTGGCAGAGATTCAAAGAAAATTTGTCAAAGTTTTATTCTTTTATCTATCTACCCATTGGCCATTAGTGTTCAACTTGTGTCTTTCCATATTTTTTTATATGAATCTATGAGGAGATTGCACTCCTTTTTGTAATCACTTAGAAGGTTCA